CCCCAGGCCTGCCGGCAAAGCCAGGTTTTGACGGCTTTTCGGAAGGCCTGGAGAGAGGTGAGGGTCCGAATCCCTGTGGGGAGTTCATTCCAGAGCATTAGAAGTTGTGGTGATTTTATTGAATGTACTTCATTTTCACATACTGAATGGCATAAAATGGAGCTCCATCCCATGCTTTCATAATATCATAATAAATAAAAATGGTTTTTGTTCAGAAATTCATCTAAATAATAGACCAAAATCAAAATCTTAGGGGAGCTCTTAGTAACTTGTAAGGAATGCAGTATGATCCTTTAAACTCCCGGCCCATGAGCCGGATGAGTCACGTGCTGGCCACGCCCACTCCCGCTTTAGCAAAGGGGTGGGAAGTCCTGATACATCACATGACACTGCCATGATGATGTGAGTTTGACACCCCTACCTTACATGATCAAGCATGAAAGAAAAATGCAACAAAACATAGTACAAATGGGCTATAACTATATCCTGTGAATACCCTCACAGCCTCTTTTGACTCAGGTTGCTTTACTGAAATTTGGCAGCTATAATTGGCCATGGAACTAGGTTAAAGCTGTTTCTGCAGCTAAATTTGGCTACCTATCACCATTCAGGTTAAGGTTCCAGTACTTCCCAAAATGCATTTGAAACTTTGAGTGAAGCCTTTTAGTCAGTTCATTCATAAAACTTAAGTAGCTTTATTTGCTGGTTATGTAGTTTTATTTGCTGTTTTATGTAACTTTGGACCACTGATTCTTTTTAGATTTGCCCATCAAATAAGAGCAGGAAAAGTGGACTCTCTCTGGGACTGTTCTGAGGAAAGGATCCTGGAAGTTAGCTTTTTGGAACTGCATTCCTCTTCAGATCCAGGTGGTCCCAATTCTATTGGGATGTAAGACAGGCATTAACATCTGGATGTCCAAGATACTATAGAAAATATTCCCTATTAACAAGAACCTCTAGTACCAGAAAATGAAGTTATATCAGCAGTCCAGTCATAAAGTCAGACGGCTACAAGAACTGATGAAACATCCATAGAATTATTGCAAGTAATGGAATGAATGTTCCATTTAATGAATGGAATCATTAAAGGTTCTAACTGAGCTACACCAGCCAATCTGGAGAACAACACAATGGCCAACAGAATGGAAAAGGTCAATCTACATTCCAATCCTCTACTCAAAAGGGGGATTTAACCGTGTGCAAATGATTATGCAGTGTCCTTAACTTTACATTCTAGCAAAATGTTTAAAATCATCCAATGCAGATTAGAGCCCTGTATGATAAAAGAGATGCCAGATGTTGAGTTTGGCTTTAGAAATGCAAAGAAACACAAGACATTGTTTCTAACGCATGCTGGATAATCCGGAAAGCTAAAGAATACCAAAAAGAAATTACTATAGATTTTATTGATCATAGAAAGGCCTTTGATTGTGTTCAGTTGGAGATGTGGAAGGTGCTTACAAATATGAGAATCCCAGAACACTTCATTGTCCTTATGAAAAACACTTGCACAGATCAGGAAGCCACACTATGGGCAGAAATAGATTGGCTCCAGGCTGGCAAAGGAATGCAAAAAGACTGTACATTGTTCCCTTATTTATTCAACCTATATCCTGAATATATATATTGAGAAGTTAGATTTGAAATAGGTAAGCATGGTTTTAAAATTGGAGGAGAAAACATCAATAACTTATGCTACACTTATGACACTACTCTGACGGTTCAAAGTTTTTTTAATTTATGAACACTTTTATGGCTGCCCAACTCACTTCTAGTGATACCAGGCAGCTTGCAATGAGAAGGATGTGCAAGCTTTAGTAATAAAAGTCAAGGAGTATAGTGAAAACATTGAGAAAAAATATATATATGAAGAAGATCAAACTCCCCCCCTAATTACTTGCATAGGGATTATTCTTTATACTATTTATGTTGTTTGTATTTTTTGTCATGGATTGCACCAATGAGGCTAAAACCAATTACAAATACATGTTGTACAATGATAATAAAGGCTATATACTGACAACATACAACAAGCAACCTTAGAACTGAGAATTAAGTTATTGAAGGGATAAGTTCTGTGTTTTAGGACCAACCTTCAACAGTAAAGGAACAAGCAGTCAAGAAAAACACCAGAGTCTAAGGTTTGGTAACAGAGCCATGAAAGCCTTGGAAACATTGCTGTGGTGTGTCTATACCTACAAAGATCAGAATAGTGCAAGCCAAGGTATTTCCTGTGACATTCTATGGAAGAGAAACGTGGGGCTTTGAAAAAGCACGATAGGAGGAGCCTTGACCCTTTTGAACCCTGGTGTTAGAGAACAATCTTGAAAATACTGTGGACAGCTAAGAAAACAAATAAATGGGCCATTCCCTAAATCAACACATAGTTCTCACTACAGGCACAAATGACCAGGCTCATATTGTCCTACTTCAAACACATGTGAAGGTCCAGCTTCTTAACAAGGTTTTGATGCTGGGATAGGTGGAGAAAAAGAGAAGCGATGACAAGCAGCACATGGATGGACTTGGTTGCAGTGCTGATGTGCACACACTGTTGAAAGACCTAAAGGAACAATTTGGAGACAGATCAACAAGGCAAGGATCAATCAATGTGATTGTTAAGTGTCAACACGGACTTGTTGATCGATCAATCAGACAACCAAAACCTGACTTTTCAACAGGCTTTGAGGGGATATACAGGATAATGGCTTTGTTTCTTTTTACAGTAAAGTACTTGTTTGACTTGGTTTTAATATTATTTGGTGCTTTAATATTCTTTGAAAGTTACTTTGTAATAATTTGTTATGTAATGATTATAATGATTTCTAGTCTCTTCTAGTCTTATTTATGGATATTAGATATATAAGCTATTTAGAGTGGATATTGACTGAAGTAACTGCCCAGCAATAAATAAATACATACATACACAAATACTCTGAAGATTGCACATTTGTCTTTATTATTCAGGTTTGTGATTGTACTCACGATATGTGTACACCAAGTTGTCCTTGAAAGTGGATTAGATGTGAAAGCTTAAGCAGAACAGTAAATCCTCCTGCCTGATGACAATGTGAATCATAATCCAGATAATCTTGGCTTAATCTGACTTTCTCCCATTTAGAATCAGGACAAAACTTCATATATTGATTTTGATGTATAAAAGAATCCTTTTGCAGAGCATTCACATGGAGAATTCCAAGGCCTCTACCTGACTCAATATTTTTAGCTGCTTGCTATTGCCTTAATAAATTAAACCTTGATAAATCTAGCTATCAGTAATAGGAACTAATGGTAGTATTGATGGCAATTGGGCTATTTTTAGTCTGTGCAGTCACCTTTCCTTTCACATTTTACTGATTCTTATTCTTCGCTCTAATATAGATTGCCATCCAAAAGATGGATTTATAGCATACAAATCTAAATACCTTCATGCAATTCCAGTCAATACCCATGTTAGGAAAGAGTCGTCCCCCCGTCCCCCCCCCGCAAGGAATAGAACTGCTGAGAACCTCTTTAATGAAGACTGATGTGTGGTAGCAATCACTGTAACTCAAACTATATTGTATAGAGCCGAGGTGGCGCAGTGGTTAAANCTAGCAGTTCGAAAGCATGTAAAAATGCAAAAACAAAAAACAAAAAACCAAAGGTACCACCACCATTATATCTAGTGCAGTGTTTCTCAACCTTGGCCACTTGAAGATGTCTGGACTTCAACTCCCAGAATTCCCCAGCCAGCTGGCTGGGGAATTCTGGGAGTTGAAGTCCAGACATCTTCAAGTAGCCAAGGTTGAGAAACACTGATCTAGTGCTATTTTGTCAGTCCCTAATGGCATACTGTTTCTAGTACTGGGTTTTATTGACCGCATAATATGATCTGACAAGGTTTTCAGAACTTTATTACAACAATAGAATGGCAGCAACAACCCAAAACAATAAAGCACAGGTTTATAATGTGTAGTAAAAGACAAAAGAAATATTTTCTTTGCACTATAAATAAAACTGATTTTCAAAATGATCTTGTAAGAACACAAGACACAATTGTGAATTTGGAGAATTATCCACATGATAGAGAGTGTTTAAATCAAAAATAAGCCATGGGAGGAAAATAGCAATGGACCCGAAATACTGTTCATTTGTCAAATTAGTTGACTTTTAAAATTACTTTTGTAACAAAGACTAAATTTAATAAAAAAAATATAGTGTAGCATTAATTATTCTAAATGAATTAGCACTGGGCAATCTATTTATCATAAGGGAAAAATTACTGGAGGAGTGAGCAATTACAGGAAGATTTGAGTTAGGATAACACAAGTATCACTAGGGTGCCAATAACAATGGAGAACATTTTCATCTCATTTAAATTTCTATAATTATTCTGCTAAAGATTGGTTAATCTCCTAATTAATTAAGGAATATATTTCTCAAAATGTTCCCAATACAGTCCCTACATCTTATTTTGTTCTGTGGTAAATTTTCAGATGAGTGGGATTGTTAAGGCAAATGGAAACATATGGAATGCAGCCTTGTACAGTTTTTATCAGACCATTCCCATGGCAACCCCTGAATCTCAAGATGTCAATGTTTCTTCTCACTAAGACCATTGTTCTCTGTAGATAACAGAAGGTCAGGAAGTAACCTGAGATCTATAACATTATTATCTATGAATATAGCAATAGCAGTAGACTTTGAATATGCATGTTTAGATTATCTATTACATGTATGCCTGCATCATTTTCTCCTTTCTGGAATGTATAAACATAAGTGTATCTCTTTGTTTGAAATTCACTATTCTGTGAGTGCTGCATACTGTCTAATAAACACAGCCATGAGCCTTGATTATTTACTTTGGGTCCTGGCATTTGATTCCACAGTGGGATTGTTCAGCTTAGTTCATAAAACTGAATGGCAGCCACTGCATCTCTCACAGTTTGATCCTTCTTTCTTTCAAGCTTGAAAGCCTAGCAATTCAGTATTTTTTATGTCAAGAGAGAGTGCCTGTATCTGTGAACTGCTTAATCTTGGATCAAAAATGGAAGTAACAGTAGAAGCAACTAATCAATCAGTAGGTTCTTCCAAAATCAGTGGAAAATTATAAGTCTGAAAAGAGGATCTGTTCTGACTTATTGCTGATTTTTAAAAAATAAAATATTGAGGGAATGACCATAAAGAATGAGGTAGGTATAAAGTAGAACATTTATATTCCATATTTAAATAGCTTAAAAGAGAATAGGAAAATATTATTTCTGATTAACCCTTCATAGCTTAAAAACGCAAACAAGTTTGTTCCTGAGCTACTCCTTGCTGAGCTATTATTGTATAAAGTCTAGTAATATCTTGATTCTAGGAAAAAAACAATGGGGGAGCCTTGAATGTGTGACAGAAAAACAAAGGCTGGTGAAAATTTTGAATAAGAACTACAGCAGGTAACTTTTCTGTTCAATAGGCATGAAGACTCCAATCACTTTAAAATCAATTTCTAGCTCTGATCTAACAAAGTTCTGACACATCTCTTTAACTGGTCCATGGAACTAAAGTATTCTGCCACCATCAGGCAATATTAGTAAAGCTAAGGGACTTTGCCTGTTGATCTTACTTGCAAAACCATCTTAAATTAGATTTGCTTTTTCTTCTGCAATCCCATCCCCATCTCATGTTATCATCCTTAAATTGCTACTGTCCCATTATCTCAGCATAACTACATTGAAGAGGAATACTGGTATAATTGCGCATTAACATCTACAAAGTAATTATCTTAATTGGTTAATTGCCTACTTTTCCATTACTTAAACCACTGTTGGTCATGCTAATTAAAAGTTCAAGCAGTGGTAGTCCAATATATTTGGGTAGCATCTGTGTGGGGAAGGCTGGTCTGGAGAAGAGAGTGACTAATATCAATCAGTTCAATGGCTTTTCGCCATGTAAGACACCATGAGCATAATGCTGCCATAGAAAAATAAATGATGTGTCTGTTTTGTCAGCTCCTTCTGACGGGAGTTGCTAAGTTGCTCTGGCGATTGAATATAGTGCTGCATTGATTATTTTTCCACTGAAGCATATTTCTTGGGGACTCTTTGACCTGGATAGAGGCTGCATATTTGTCATGTAGGTCAGCCCAATTTCCCCCTAAAAATAGTCATGGAATGCAAACTATTCATGGAATCCCCAAATCCAGCATTCTTTTAATACATTAAATAAACCCCAAATAAAGCTGCTTGTAGAGGGAAGAAAAAAGGCAAGATAATTGTTGGCACTGGTTATCTGCACAATCGTGTGTGTCTAAGTTCCAACTGCAACTTGCTCCAAATAAAAAGCCTCTACTTATTGACAAAAAGTTTTTGGTACTGATAGAAAATAATATTTGTGGCTCAGGGTTGAACAGTTTTTCATCCTTGTTTCCAAGGTTTTCAAGAGCTTCTTAAAAAAAATAATACTTGATTCACTTTTTGTGAACTACCACCAAAACAATTAGAGGGGAAAAAAGATATAGGTTTCTTAAGTCTAACAGTAGCTTTAGTGATAACACTGGGACAGGGATCCAAATTTGTAAACATTGAAAAATTTAACCTCTGTTGCAAGGCTTCTGCTCTTCTTGTTAAAATCAGAGCCCCTCTAGCTGCTTTTAAAGTTGAAAGACAAAGGGGAAATCCAGACAGGGACCTCCCACATCCCACATATTTTAGCCCTATGGGGATCCCCTCCCATTCAGTCTTAGCCTCATTTGATGTATGATGGTGATAATAATCAGAACAAGCCTCAGTGAATCATTCTGAACACAAGAGAAATGCTTTGTTCCTTTTTATTCATTCATTCATTCTTTGTCCATTTCTATTGATTCACTCCACAAATAC